TCTTTCTTTCTTTCTTTCTTTCTTTCTTTCTTTCTTTCTTTCTTTCTCTTTCCTTTCTTTCCCTTTCCTTTCCTTTCCTTTTTCCTTTTGTTCCTTTCCTTTTTCCTTTCCCTTTTCCTTTCCTCTTTCCTTTCCTTCTTTCCTTTCCTTTCCTTTCTTTTCCTTTCTTTTTTTAAGGCAATGTCTTGCTGTGTCTCCCAGGCTGGAGTGAAGTGGTACAATCATAGCTCACTGCAGCCTGAATCTCCCAGGCTCAGTTTATCCTCCCACCTCAGCCTCCTGAGTAGATGGGACTGCAGGTGCACACCACTGTCAGGCGTTCAAATTAGAGCGACCCTGTCTCGAGTAAGGACTAGGAAAATGAGGCTGGGACTTGCTGGGCTGCATACCCACAAAGTTAGGTATTCATAGCCTCTAGATGTTAAGGGAACAGTTGATAATGTTTACTAAACAGACCCAGACTTGGGAGTGACCTCATATCCCCATATCTTGAGAACAGTAGCATTTTTTTTCTTTTTTTTTTTGCATTTTTAGTAGAGATGGAGTTTCACCATGTTTCCCAGACAGGTCTCAAACTCCTGAGCTCAAGAAGTGATCTTCCCACCTCAGCCTCCCAAAGTGCTGAAAATACAAGCATGAGCCACTGAGCCCGGTCAGCTTATCTGTTTTGTTTTGTTTTTTTCAATGCTATGAAATTATTTGTACATTGTAAACACTCATAAGAATTGAATTAATTAGTTAATACTTAAAAGTTAATCCGATTGAAGTTGCTTGTAGTCAAAGAATCATAAATAATTCAAGTATGTGCAACATAATCCATTTTGTTTCAAAAAATTATTTGTGCTTGTGAAAAAGGCTGGAATCCCAGCACTTTGGGAGGCCAAGGTGGGTGGATTACCTGAGGTCAGGAGTTCGAGACCAGACTGACCAACATAGTGAAACCCCGTCTCTACTAAAAATATGAAAAATTAGCCAGGTGTGGTGGCACACAACTGTAATTCCAGCTACTTGGGAGGCTGAGGTAGAAGAATTGCTTGAACCTGGAAGGCGGAGGTTGCAGTGAGCCAAGATTGTGCCATTGCACTCCAGCCTGGGCAACAGAGTGACACTCTGTCTCAAAAAACAAACAAACAAACAAAAAAACGGAAACAAAAAAGGCTGGAAATATATTTAAAAAAAACAAACAAACAAGGTATTATCACTGGAGAGTGGTGTTATTGGTGATTTGAATTTTCTTTGTCGGAGAAGTTAAATTGTTTGTCTTTGCAGATGAAATGATTTTATATTGAAAAAACCCTGAAGACTCCACCAAAAACTATTAAATAAACAAATTCAGTAAAATTGCAGGATACAAAATCAACATAGAAACGTTGGTAGTACTTCTATACACCAATAGCAAACTGTCTGAAAAACAAGAAAGTAATCCCATACAAAATAGCTACAAAAAAAATTTAACACTTAGGAATAAATAAATTTAACCAAGAAGGTGAAAGATCTCTACACCAAAAACTATACAGCATTGATCAAAGAAACTGAAGACACAAATAAATGGAGCAATACCCTGTGTTCATAGATTGCAAAAATTAATATTATTAAAATGTCTTTACTACCCAAAACAAACTGTAGATTCAATGCAATTCCTATCAAAATACCAATGACATTCTTTGCAGAAATAGAAAATACAATCCTAAAATTTGTATAGAACTACAAAAGACACCAAATAGCCAAAGCAGTCTTGAGCAAGAAGAGTAAAGCTGTAGGCACCAGACCTCGTGATTTCAAAATAAGCTGCAAAGTTATAGTAACCAAAACAGCCTAAAATAGACCAATGGAACAAAATACCGTAGAAGTAAATCCATGCAGTTATAGCCAACTGATTTTCAACAAAGGCACCAAGAGTACACAATGGAAAGGACAGTCTCTTAAAAAAAACTGTGTTGGGAAAATTGGATATCCACACACAGAAGAATGGAATTAGACCCTTATCGCCTATTATATACAAAAATCAACTCAACGTGTATTAATAACTTATTTGTAAGATCTGAAACAATGAAACTACTAGAAGAAAACATCAGAGGAAACTCCATGAATTTGGTCTGGGCAAGAACGTTTGGATGTTACCACAAAACAAAGGCAACAACAGCAAAAATAGATGTGTAGAATTACATGGAACAAAAAGCTTCTGTACAACAAATGAAACAGAGTGAAGAGATAACTTACAGAATGGAAGAAAATATTTGTAAACTATATATCTGATAAAGGGTTAATATACAAAATATACAAGGAACTCGATAGCAAAAAAAAAAAAAAAAAAAGCAAGCAACCCTATTAAAAAATGGGCAAAGGACATAGAAGACATACAAGTTGCCAGTAAGTATATGAAAAATGCTCAGCATCAGTAATCATCAGGGAAATGCAAATCAAAACCACAGTGGGATATCACGTGACACTAGTTAGCATGGCTATTATCAAAAAGACAAAAGAAAAGTGGCAAAACCATACAAAAGAATGAAATCATGTTGTTTGCAGCAACATGGATGCAGCTGGAGGCTATTATCGTAAGTGCATTAATGCAGGAACAGAAAACCAAATACTGCATGTTCTCACTTATAAGTGGGAGCTAAACATTGAGTCCACACAGACACAAAGATGGGAACAGTAAACACTGGGGAATCCAAAAGTGGGGAGGAAGGGAAGGGAAGACGGGCTGAAAAACTACCTGTCAGGTATTATGTTCACTACTTGGGCAACAGGATCATTAGGCACCCAAACCTCAGCAACATGCAATGTACCCATGTAACAAACCTGTACGTGTCTGCACATGTACCCCTGAATTTAAAAAGAAATGTTGGCCAGAATATTCCCACTCTTGGTGGGAATGTAAACCAGGAGACAACTGCTATGGAGTACGGTATGGAGGTTCTTCGAAACAGTACAAGTAGAACTACACTCTGATCCAGGAACCCCGCTACTGGAAATCTACTCAAAGGAAAGGAAATAATTATATAGAAGAGACATCTGCATCCCCATGTTTATTTCAGCATTATTCACAATAGCCAAGGCATGGAATCAACCTAGTTGTCCATCAATGGATGAATGGATAAAGAAAATATGGTATATGTACACAGTGAAATATTATTTAGTTATACAGAAGAGTAAACTCCTGTCATTTGTGACAGCATGGATGAGCCTGGAAAACATGTTAAGTGAAATAAGGCAGGCACAGAAAGATAAATGCTGCCATCATCTCACTCATATGTGCAATCTAAAGGAGCTAATTTTTTTTTTCTTTTTTGAGACGGAGTCTTGCTCTGTCACCCAGGCTGGAGTGCAATGGCACAATCTTGGCTCACTGCAACCTCTGCCTCCCAGGTTCAAGCAATTCTCCTGCCTCAGCCTCCAGAGTAGCCGGGACTACAGGTATGCACCACCACACCCAGCTAATTTTTGTATTTTTAGTAGAGATGAGGTTTTACCATGTTAGTCAGGTTGGTCTTGAACTCCTGACCTTGTGATCTGCCCACCTCAGCCTCCCAAAGAGCTGGGATTACAGGCGTGAGCCACTGCGCCCAGCCTAAAAGAGCTAATTTTATAGAAGAACAGAGTCAAATGATGGTTACCAGAGGCTTGAGTGGTTAAGAGGAGGGAGGGGATGGGGAGATGTTGTCCAATTACAGTTAGAAAGTTGAGAGGCATGCTGATTGCTTGGGTCCAGGAATTTGAGACTAGCCTGGCCCACATGGCAGAACCCCATCTCTACAAAAAATATAAAAATTAGTGTGGTGGCAC